CCCCCCCCCGAAGCTATTCAGTGGCAAGGGGCAGGCTGCTGCAAAATGTCCGTGGAATTAGAACTTTATGCCGTGAAAACTTTGACCAAATTAGAACCTTATGCTTTGTCAACCCGTGAAAATTGATAAATTCTCGCATCATTTAGGTAGACCTCTGGTCATGACAAATGGTGAGGCGTCTGGGGGCAGCAGAGTTCTTCCTAAGTCAGAGTCCCGTTGTAGGAAAGGATGGGGGCAGAGAAAGCAGTGTACCCAGGGATGCTGGAGGACCTTGCCAAACACTGACAACTAGCAGCACAACTAGAACGGGGCAGCTGTGCCAGGTGCTGGCTTTGGTGAAGGAGGCAGGGGCAGGACCAGAAACAGACAAATGAACAAATACACACAAAAAAAGGCCATTGGATTGTGACCCTGTTCACAATCTTGCCAGTGGCAACCACAAAATACTGCAGTCCCTGTGTCCTGGGTACCTGCTCTTGTCACTCTGCTGCTGCTCTCACCCTGTGTGTGACATGCCATTTTTTAATTAAAGCTTGATGGAACATTTTTCAAGCAACAGTTTTGTGGCTGATTGGACATCCTTATCATGCACTAATTACTTTGCATGTGTAGCATGTCTAAATGTATCATGCAATTAACCAATTAATTGCACCATAAATATAATGTATGTCAGGAACCTTAGATTAAAAAAAACAAGAAGGGGGAAATTATAAATAAAAAAAGGGAATGAGGGAAGAACCCAAACTTTTCAGGCCTTTGTTGTACATCCAAAAAAAGCAAAAGCAGGGTACAACCTTGTGATTAGGCCTGTGCAAAGCGGCTAGTATTTGCTTCAGATTTGGCTGATTTGGGGGACAGTGATTTGATTCGGTGATTTGAATCACTGTCCCAAATTGATTCGGCCAATTCTGACTCGGAGATTTGGCTGCTGCTGAATCTCTGAAAGTCCGAATCAGCCAGGCCAGGCCCATCCCCGCCCAGCCGGGCAATGGCTGCCCCGCCTACCCCAGCTCCTGGCACTTGGTTGGGGGGGGGAGCCCTGGCTTACTGGGTGCTGCTGGGCGGGGGGGCATTCCCTGCTGCCCCACGCTGCGTGAGGGGCTCTACTTAACTCTTGTGACAGAGAGAGAGGGAAGGTTGAGAAAATTGGGAATGGACAGTCAGAATCCTAATGGCAGAGATCTGGGAAGTTCCCAGCACCATCCCCCATCTCACTCCAGAGTCATCCTGTACTCTTCTTGTGCCCCCTAACTAGAAACCTTGAAGTGTTCCAGCTGGGAGTTGGGGCTAGGTGGGAGGAGGACCACCACAGGGACTGTAAGTATGTCCCCCAGCTTTTGAAATGTTTCTAAACATTTCAAAAATTGCTTCTGTCTGAAGCCTCTCTCTCTCTGTTTTCTCTCCCTCCTTCATTGGCCCCATAACCTTCTTAAGGCAGGGGCTGTCTCAATTTATTGTGTTTACCTAGTGCCTAACAATTGTAGTCCTGGTCCTCATGGGCACTGTGATGCTGCAGGTAATCAGTATGAACCATGAACCTAGGCCATGAGCTGCCACACTTACCCAAAGACTTTTATAACCACTGCGCTTCCAGTAATACCAGCAGCCAATGATCAGTAACACTGCAAGAACCACAACAAGGATTCCAATGCCCACAGCCCTGTTGCAAAAAGAAAATTATGTAATGCATTTGCTTATGCAAAAATATAGCACAACTAATTGCAGCATTATCCTTTACCAAATATTTCAACAGGCTTAGGTCATAACACAAAGGGGTCCACTGTGCCCTTTAAGAAATTAAATAATGAACAGGTTGGATTTTTAAGCAGTTGGTGCTTGCAATATGCAGGGAATCCTGAAATGGTTGAATTACATATAGTGAACAAAGAAGAAAAATAGCTATTGAACAGAAGCCTCTGTTTATGAATGAGGCCCCTCAGTGGTTTGGAGCAGTCGTTCGGGGGTTTTCAGAACATCATGGTAAACATAGACTTCATAGATTTCATAGACATCAGGGCTGGAAGGGACCTCGGAAGATCATCGAGTCCAGCCCCCTGCCCAAAGGGCAGGAAGTCAGCTGGGGTCATAGGATCCCAGCAAGATAAGCATCCAGTTTTATCTTGAAGGTGTTCAATGAAGGCGCTTGAACCACCTCCGGTGGCAGGCTGTTCCAGACCTTGGGGGCTCGGACAGTAAAGAAGTTCTTCCTTATGTCCAGCCTGAAACGATCTTGAAGTAGTTTGTGACCATTCGACCTCGTCATCCCTTGGGGCGCTCTGGTGAACAAACGTTCCCCCAGATACTGGTGGTCACCCCTGATAAACTTGTAGGTGGCCATCAGATCACCCCTGAGCCTGCGCTTTTTCAGGCTAAAGAGCCCCAGGGCTCTCAGCCTGTCATCGTAGGGTCTGCTTCCCTGACCTCTGATCATGCGCGTGGCTCTTCTCTGGACTCTCTCAAGCTTCTCCACATCCTTTTTGAATTGTGGAGCCCAAAACTGGACACAGTACTCCAGCTGCGGCCTCACTAAGGCCGAGTACAGGGGGAGAATGATGTCCCGGGATTTGCTTGAGAAGCATCTATGGATGCAAGCCAGCATTTTGGTCGCTTTACTAGCCGCCGCATCGCATTGCAGGCTCATGTTCATCTTGTGGTCAATGATGACCCCCAAGTCTCTTTCTTCCATAGTGCTAGCCAACATAGCACTGCCGAGCCTATAAGGATGCTGCGGGTTTTTCTTCCCAAGGTGGAGAACCTTGCATTTATCGGCGTTGAACACCATCAGATTCTCGTCCGCCCACTTGCTGAGCCTGTCCAGGTCAGCCTGGATAACCTGCCTGTCTTCTGGTGTGGATGCTTTGCCCCAAAGTTTGGTGTCATCTGCGAACTTGGCCAGTCCGCTTCTGACTCCAGTGTCCACATCATTAATGAATGAACATGTATGCAACTAAATGATTGTCCTCAGTTTCAAGTCATCTGGCTCTGGCTCTGGCCACTCCTCAGGTTAACTAAGCAGCTAAATTCCCAACCAAAAGGCATGACTCTTTCAAAGCCTGGTAAAATACAACCATCACTTCAAACGATATTGATCTCCAGAGCTCTCTTCATAGACCACTCCACCTCATATAGACAGCATTGCCAAAGTGGAAAAACCATGAAATAAATGCCTCACTTGTGGAGATGCATCTTATTTATTTTTAGTTGAATCCTCCAGGTAAAGAACTTGGCAATGTACTTGCCAACTCACATCCTGTTATAGCAAAAGCTAGAGAGCGATTACTGGATCCATAAAACATTGCCCAGTCTCAAACTGCAGGCAAAAGGAGTAACCTTTGCATATGCAGCTTCTTAACTTGTTTCATGTTCCATACCATACTAGGCATAATAATGATGGCATTTGGACAGGAGGGAATTTAGGTCACATTGTGGCTTCAGGAGTATGGCCTAATCAGTATGTGCTTACAATCAGGTGGGTGTCCCTGGTCCCATACAGACGGGCTTTGTCCCCTTAGGAGCTGCTCAGCCAGTCCAAACAGTAGTTCAGAAGCAGGATTAGGTTCCTGCAACCTCGTCTACTGGCTTTGCTCCCCTTGGCTCTCAGACAGTCCTCACAACCAATAATAATCCTCACCCAAAACAGCCTTTGGCTTTTTTCCAGGCAAAGGCAAATTTTGGCCTTTAACTCAGGCCCTTCCTAGAAGCAAGCTCCTCTGGGTTCAGCCTGCCTGCTAGCCCCAAACTGCTTCTTCTCCAGCTCAAGTTAACTGGGAGCTACCAGTTAACCGTCCGCAGCTCAGCTCTTCCACCAGGCTTATCTACCCCACTTTAAAGGCCTAGACCGCCCTATTACAGTGTTGTTACATATCTTTTTTCCCATTCTATAAAAGGGACTCAGGAAAGTCAGATTTAAAGTGCCATTTATCAGAAAGCAAAGAGGCACAAAAATGGTGAGCTCTAGCTGCTGCTTATATAAACCCCAGTCAGAATATATGTATACAGGACAGCACACCTCCACCTAGAGATATCTGAACTAGCTGTGGAGACTCTGCATGAGTTCTTTGTTCCCTGTTCTACTAACGCTGCCCTTCCCTTCAAGAGATAAACGGAAGATAGTTTTCTCCTTTTCTCTTTTTTTCCATTGCTAAGAAGTCTAAAGCAGGAGTCAACAAGAGTGTATAGGAAGCAGAACAAGCCAGCCTTATGTTTGAGCTACTTGTTTGTCGAGACATTTAGCCAAGAACTTTAAGCACCTTGGAGGTTGCAAGGCTGACCATCTCTGCAACTCTCCCCTTTCACTTGGAGTGTGGTATGGCAGTGTTCCCACTGTGCTGGGTCATGCTAGAATCCAGTCAAGGGCTGAAATGGCTCTGCTGGTTCCACTGGTGTGCAGAATGCTCTGCTCAAGTGAGCCCTATTTTCTTCCTCCTTCTGTTACCAGTGGTTCCTTTTCCTGGGGACTTGCTTCTCCATTTAAGCTCCCACTACAAAGGCCCCCTTATTGTCCCCTGCGTGTGGCCAAGTGTTAGCCTCTCTCTCCCCAGAGGGCCTGAGAAGATTTTCCCAGACAGTAGCACTCAAACACATTGTGCTGCTCCACAGGGGCTGTCGCCTAAACTGAAAGCATCATATTGTTGCTGTTTGGTGATTTTGTTCTATTCCTGGTCTCTTAATGAGCCTGCATCACTCTACTGACACTTTTCTGCCCAGACGCTACCAATTGTGAAGTGAGTCTGGCCTGCTGGGTAGAGCCTATAGCAGGGGTGGGCACAATGACAGGTCCAGCCAGCAGCTGGACTCCCATTTCCCAGCAGCCCCATCCCACATGACTGGGGCTGGTCTCCATGGTGACCCCAAGTGCAGCTGTACAAGGCTGGGGTTCCCATGGAGACTGGCCCCAGGTGCTTGGCAGGGCAGGGAGATCTTGTGGCGGGAGGCAGCTTGGTCTGGGGCCAGGGCAGAGCCGCAATCTGCAGCTTGCACACTCTGGGCAGGGATGTGCAGGCAGCGGATCGTGGCTCCATCCCAGCTCCTTTCAGCAGTGACAGCCTGGTTCAGAGCAGGGGCAGAGCCATGATCCACTGCCTGCACACCCCTGCTTGGAGCGTGCAAGCTGCAGATTGTTCTGCCCTGGCCCTGACCAAGCTGCCTCCGCTGCAAGATCCCAGTGGCTCTGGAGCAGCCCCCTGCCCTGCCGCACACCCTGCCAGCACGGCTGGGGCTGGTCTCCATGGCAACCTCAGCCTTGAACTATCACAGTGCAATATTGCACTCCATGGAGATTGGCCCCAGCCATGCAGGCAGGAGTCCACTGCTGGCCAGACCCAGCCCATGGGCCAGACTTTTCCACCCCCAGCCTATAGTGTTACAAACTGTCAGCCATTCAGCATTTCTATCTGAAAGGCTCCCAAAGGGCCTGTAGAATCTATCTTCTTCAGCCACTTAACGTAAATGGCACTGCTTTGGTTGCGGTGAGGTCCATAGGAATCATTCCTGTCACACTAGCTACAATTGACACGGTGTCAGAGGTGACTGCTGAGTCCAAATTAACTGACTTTCCTGTTCAGGGGACCTACTTGTCTGCAGAGGACCTTGGAATAATCATGGGAAAACATGAGTGTTGCAGCTTATGGTAAAGGTCACCAGACCTAGACTCTGATGAATCCAGGTCAAAAGCATGTTCCACATCTGCAAACCCAGGATGAGGCTGTCATCTCGAGCACTTCGAAAATTCCCTACTGCCAAAATGTTACCTCAACAGCAGTTAGTCTCTGAGTGTAGGATAGTCTTGGCGTAAATACTTTATATGACTTTATGGATCAAAGCCAATGTCTTTCCATCCATCCGCATGCCCTGCCAGCGCTGCAGGGGCTGATCTCCATGGAAATTCTGGCCCTACACTGTCATGCTCTGCTGCTTCTGGAGTCTCCATGGAAACCAGCTGTAGCAACACGGACAGGGGCTGCTGGAAAATGAAGTCTGACTGCTAGTTGGCTCCACCATTTTGCCCACCCTTGGGTTAGATGATGTCCCGTTTGAAGTACTTATAAGGCAAATGTGAATGAAATGTGGAACTGAAGGTCAGAACTTTTTTGAAGATGATGGACTCACTTTTTGTCTACTCCTTGTTCCCCTAGCAAGTCTGTTTTATATTCTGCTGAAAAAGAACTTGATTTAATTGTCAAATTTTTCTTGTGATGATGACTACAAAATAGACTAAATGTACTTCCCCCAAACCAAGCAACTATATGTAATTTACCAAGAAAATCCTACTTTGTAAAATTCTGTTCCCAGGACAAAGGAAATTCACACAATTGATTCACTTTTGAGCTTTCAGCAGCCACAGCACATATGAATCTGAATGTAAAGTTATTTTCACCAGCAGAGATGCAACTATATGTTTTGTTTTATTTTATACTTACTCTTCTACATCAAGATAGGAATATCCCTTCCCTCTGCTAAAGATGCCATCTGGTTGGCCTGCTCCTCTGGGCATTTTGTAAGATTGGTCTGGGTCACACCTACAGGGCAGAAACATAGTGCAAGTTAATGCAAGAAGTACATTTACTCATTTCTCCTAAGGCACAAAGTGTTATCTGCAAAAAGAGGTTTTGGTGCTTTTTTTTTAAAGAAAAAATTCTTAACAAGAACAAAGTACACAGGATCAAATTCAAGTTCAAGTATCAGCAGGTGCATCTACATGTGAAATTAATGCAACACCATAAACTCCGAAGCACTTTGAGCCAAAACAAAGTGTTCCTGGGCACAGCATCCACACATGCACCCAGGAGAGAAACAATTTGAGCCAGGGTGGACTGGCCAGCAATTTATGCTCCCAGTCACCATCTATACATATGTTTCAGCACACTCTACTCTGCTGTAAGACAATACTGTCCCTGGCAGTACTTTCCTATGGCTAAGTTAGTTTACTGTGCTGTACTACCGGCACACATGTAGACTGTGATGCTTTACTGCAGAGCTCTGCAGTAAAGCACATGTGTAGATGCACCCAGTTACTCTGCACAACTTAGAGCTTACGCCAAAATAGCTCCACTAGCATCAGTTGAGCTACTATAATTTTGCATTTGTTCTCTTCAGATACAAAACTTCTGCAGACATGTGAAGGGAAGTCTCTCAAGAATAAGAAAGGTTTTTCTGTTTCAACCCAATGTGAGTCTACTGCATTTTCAAAGTGTCCATGAGGAGAACCTGGGGTGGGCGGTGGGAAGAAATCCATTTCTCAGCCCATTCATATTCTCACAAATTTAAATTAATTAGAAGGTTGGTTCTTAAGAGAGAAACAATTTAGAGATCAGGAATCTCCTATAAATAATGTAATTCAGCTTGTGGGAGGTGGGGAAAACATTTTGGAAAGAATGAGAATATTTTACTTGCAGATGTAAAATTTATATCAGTAGCTTCTTTGCTCTAGTAAACTGTCACCGTTCTATTGACTTCAACAGAACTGCATCAGTTTACATCTGCAGAATATCTTAATTTACATGCACTCAGTTCTTGCAAAAAGTTTCAATTATGTTTCAATTGCCGTTACTTTACTGCCCTCAGGGAATGCACCATCCAAATAAAATCAGTCTGAATACTTCAAATCTAATTTATTTGATGTAACCAGGGAAAATACATAAGAAAAAACTTTTGTCATAGATAAGTAGTACACCATCAAATCTTCCTGTATATTCCTAAAATAATTTACCCCTCAAATTCATTTAAGAAAAATATGAGCCTATGAGAAAGAAACTAGACCATCAGTTAGACCTAATGAAATAACTGTTTTAAAATTCAGAAACAGCCAGTCTTCTGAAACTTAATGTTTGAAATACACATGGAAATTCTAGTAGAATAATAAATATACCAACCTTACCTTCTTTACAGTCCTGCACTCTGCATGCCCAGCTGAAGGCATATACAGTATTCTTCTCCTTTGCTTAATCTTTATTTTGATCTCTGCTCCCATGACAATCACGAGTTTAAATTCCTTATGGTGCTGCCTTTGATTGTTTTAATTAGCGTGAAAGAGTTGAAGCAAATAGACAGTCTTTCTTTTTCCTCTTCTTCACCTCAGCCCCCATTCTTCTGACTAACCCATTACAAGAGTCACATCTTTTCCACGTGGGCACATACACAACAGGGGGCTGTTCGTTTTTTGCCTATTTACTGAAATCAATACAATTCCTAACATGGACACACTTATGCCTATTTTATGTTAGTTTAATTTATGATGTAGGGCTGATCTAAACCTAGTTTTTGAAACAGTTTAATGAAGGCTTTGTCTATCCAGAATCTTTGTACTACTATGCTATCTGTTTAGAAGGCAACAGAATTAAAATGGTTCAGCCCCTTTCACAGATGTTCTTATATTGGAACAGAAGTGCCTTGCATCAGTATAGTTCATTCCAAGCAAGCAGGGTCATGTGTTCTAGCAAAAAGGAAAAAAAAGGCACCAAAGTCATAAGTTAACTCTTACAAACTGATTTGGTTAGCACATGATTCTGGAAAGCAGGACAGAATTTATTCTACTGTACATTTTCTCGTTTTTTATGCCTAACCAGACAATATGGTGGTAACACATCTGAGCTTTGCCTACCTTACAATGTTCTCCTGTGTTAGCATCAGAGGAGATACAATGGATTTTCCTAATGTAGATAACAAAGGTGTTAGAGCCTATAGGACTATTTCTGGAAAGCATCCTTCTTCTGGGCAAACATTTGATACTGGATTGGTTCTGCACCCAGTGTGGACAGGACATGTTTAACCATTTCCATTAGTTCAGCTGACTTCTGCCTTCAGGTGCGTGGATGGGAGCTGAGAAGCAGAAACTCTCTTATCTAGAGTAATGAAAATACAAAATGGAGGAGGTTGCACAATAACCAGGAGTGGAGTTCATCCGATTTGAAATCTTTTAATTATTTAATTATCTGATTGTCCAGTGAGTCTTTTGCATTACACAAATTGAACCATTATGGGAATTTCAAATCTGAAAGGGGCTGCTGATTTAGGTATTAGATGTGCATGGAACCATAAGGAGATGCTATAAAGTTTGCTAGGGGTGTAGTCTCAAAGCAGTCTGTCTATGGCCCCAACACCATTATAAATGGGAATAGGGTTGTTTGGGCTGAGGGGTCAAAGGCAGATGGGTGTAATATTAATCACATCACTCCTTTGTGTGTTGCTGGCTACAGAAATTGGTGTGCCTCAACCACATTAGCCCTATAATGCATCTGAACACTTGGGCTGCTCGAAGAGCTGTAAACACCTCTGAAGAACTCCAAATAGCAAGCATGAGATGTGCACAGTCAAAGAAGCACTTAAAAATGGCCAAAGGTGAAAAATGTCTTTGATGTACTTCCTTGTGAAGCGCTTACTGGAATGTTAATAAGCTCCAGCAGAATCATAGAAAATTAGGGATGGAAGGAACCTCATGAGGTCTAGTTCAATCCCCCACTCAAAGCAGGACCATCCCCAACTAGATCACTCCTGCCAGGGCTTTGTCAAGCCGGACCTTAAAAATCTCCAAGGATGAATATTCCACCCCCTCGCTAGGTAACCCATTTCAATGCTTCACCATCCTCCTAGTGAGAGAGTTTTTCCTAATATCCAACCTAAATCCCCCTTGCTGCAACTTGAGACCATTGCTCTTTGTTCTATTATCTGTCAGTACTGAGAACACTTTAGATCCGTCCTCTTTGAAACCAGCCTTCAGATAGTTAGAGGCTCCTATCAAATCCCGCCCCCCCTCAGTCTTCTGTTCTGAAGACTAAATAAGTCCAGTTCCCTCAGCTTCTCCTCATAAGTCATGTGCTCCAACCCCCTAAACATTTTTGTTGCCCTCCATTAGACTCTGACTTGTCCATATCATTCTTATAGTGGGGGGCCCAAAACTGGACACAGTACTCCAGATGTGGCCTCACCAGTGTAGAATAGAGCAGAATAATTATTTCCCTTGATCTGCCGGCAATGCTTCTACTAATGCAGCACAGTATGCCATTAAGCTTCTTGGCAACAAGTCCATACTGTCTAATATTATAAAAGCCTTAGTCTGTCTGTCCATAATGCTTTATTCGCACTCTGATTGGTTGTCTGAAGCAACCAATCAGAGTGTGAGTGTTTGGACAGGAGCTGGCTGCTGTGCCACCATGACAGTGGTGACAGAGGGTGGGGTGAGGCCCTGCAGCCTGAGGTGACAGTGGCGAGGGGTGGGGCAGGCCCTGGCTCTGGCCTGAAATGGCCCTGCCAGCTGGGACCCTGTGCTCCTGCCACCCTGCTCTGGGCCCTGCCAGCACTGACCCTGGGACACCAGTGCGGGCCCCATGCTCTCACTGGCTCCCCGCCCACTCACAACCAGTGCCTCCCAGCCCTGCGGTATAGGCAGGGGGCAGCGCACAGCCCTGAGCCCCTGCATGCTGGCAGGGAAGAAGCTGGTGCAGAGTGCCGGGAAAAGCGGCCCCTCGCCCACCCCATGGCCGGCGCTCCCTGCTGCAGGTACTCGCAGCCCACGCGGGGCTGTGTGGAGCAGGCACAGGAAGTCCCAGGCGGGCTGTGAGTGGCCGCAGCATGGGGCACTGGCCACACGGCAAGCGAGGAGCCACTCTTCCCCATGCTCAGCATCAGCTTGTAACCTGGCCCCGCTGCCAGCATGGCAGTGGGGCTGGGTTACAAGGTGGTGGTGAGTACAGTGGGGGGTGGGAAGCAGCCCTTTGCCTTCCCCATGCCTGATGCCCCACGCTGAAGCCGCTCACAGCTGGCCTGGGGCTGCCTGTGCCTGTTCCAGACAGCCCCGTGTGGGCTGCGAGTGCCTGCAGCAGGGAGTGCTGGCCCTGGGGTAGGCAAGGGACTACTTTTCTCTGAGCAGGGAAGGAACTTGGGGAAAAGCTGAGCATGGGGGGGAAAAGTGGCCCCTCCCCTACCCCATGGCCGGTGCTCCCTGCTGCAGCCGCTCACAGCCCACACAGAGCTGTTCAGAGCAGGCACAGGCAGCCCCATGCAGGCTGCAAGCAGCTGCAGCATGGCACACCGGCCATGGGGTGGGGAAGAGGCTGTTTCCCCCGCCTGCATTCCTTCCCTGCCCAGGGTCCGCCCCGCCCTTCTCCCCGCCCCACTTACCTGTGGTTCCAGCACAGGGCAGCCACATACTCCCAGGCCAGAAGCCCCAGCTGGGGCTTCCGGCTGGGGAGGCAGGGCCGGGTGGACCCTGCTGTTGTTGGAGCCCACTGGGCTTCCCCTGGGCCCTATTGCCCTTGGTTCCTGTCATTTTTTACAAGAAACAAGGGCAGAGAAATATTAATTTTCTACATTTTTTAGGGGCCCCATGGGCTGGATAGAATGGCCTCGCAGGCCGGATGCGGCCCGCAGGCCGTATTTTGCCCACCCCTGGTCTAGAGCTGCACCAACACATCGGTCTGATATCAGATTGGCATCGATATAAAGAGAATTTTCTGTATCGGATATTGGCCCAATGTGGCTAATAATTTGTCCAATAAATGCCCATGCTTACATGCAGTCGCAGCACAGCCCATAGGCAGTGAGGAGCAGAGCCGGCAGCGTGGAGTGCTGTGTGCACCTGGTGTAAGTCTGGTGTGGTGAAAGGGGAAGAGGAAGCAGTGCGGGAGTGGGGGAGGGGCAGATCAAGGTCCCCGCAGTGAGGGAGGGTGTGGGGTTGGGCCTGGGTCTGGGGCTGCCCAGCCAGGGCCAGGGCAGGTGCGGGATGGAGGCAGGGCTCATCAGTGGGGCACGGGAAGGGGTGGGTGGTTCTTTCCACTGCATGTGGCTTGTCCGGTGCTCGTCTGGTGGCTCCTACTATTGCTCATGCCTCTTGTCTGGGAGGGCATGGGGGTGGGGGCATGTGCCTCCGGATCAGAGCGGGATGGGGGGCGGGCAGGGGCTAGGCTTTTCTCAGTCAGGCAGATCCAGGGAAACATGCCTCCACCCCCATGTCCTCCTGGACAAGTGGCGGGAGCCACCAGATGAGCCACGTGCAGCGGGAGGAGCCGGCCCCTCCCCTCCCTTCCCGCACCCCCCAGACGAGCTGAACCTCCATCTGGCCTCAGCCCTGGCCCCGGTCCAGAGTTGCATCCTGTCCCGCGCTGTGCAGATCTGGGGGGCACAGCCTCCTCACCACCCAGACAAGCCACTTGCAGCTCTGTCCTGTGCCCCTCCACACCCTGGCTGGTCAGCACCTGCCCCAGCCCCACTTACTCCCTCACTGCAGGGGCCTTGATGTGCACCCCCACACCCATTCCACCATACCAGACTTATCAGCTGGACATATCTTTTCAAGCTGAAGAGCTGCATATCAGAAATCAGATCAGTATTGGTTGATATGCCTCCTTAAAAATTGGCCCAATCTGTATCAGCCCAAAAAATCTCTATTCGGTGCCCCCTAAGTATGTCTAGTTTTGGGCCTCACA